TTAAGTTATTGTCTAAAAGAGTAGACCTAACTCATAGCATCATTTTCAGAATTAAACACATAACAAAAACTCTCAGAAGTTGGTGACAAGGACATGAGCATGCTCTCTGAACGTGTTTCCTTGAATCATGAAGGATTCTAGTTGACAGGTTGCACATGAGGACCTGGGATGTCAAACTAAGGTGTTTCCTATCGCCCCTGAGGTCAGAGTGGAACCTCCTCTCGAAGACCACCACACACATCAAGTAGGGGCATTAAGAATGAAATTACTGGCAAGATGGGGTGGTACATGCCTTTAATGTCAGCACTTAGAAGACAAAGGCAAATGGATGTTGTTTAGTTCAAGGTCAGTCTGGTCTATATAGCAAGTTCTAGGACAGCCAGGGATACAAAGTGAGACCCTGTCTCAAATGTCAAAAAAACAAACAAACAAACAAACAAAAGGACTGTGCTGGGCAGAGGTGGCGCGTGCCTTTAATCTCAGCACTTGGGAGGCAGAGGCAGGTGGATTTCTGAGTTCTCGGCCAGCCTGGTCTACAGAGTGAGTTCTAGGACAGCCAACACTACACAGAGAAACCCTGTCTCAGAAAAAAAAAAAAAAAAAAAAGACTGTAACTAGCCAAAGCACATTTCCCTTTGCAAATAAGCAATATGTCTGTCCTATAAAGAGCTTCCTTCTGGGAAGTTGGGGGTGTGGGGGTGTGGCCCAGTTGGCAGGATGTTTGCCTTGGTACGCATAAAGCCCAGGGCTCCATCCTTTGTACTACATAAAGTTGGGCATGGTGGCACACACTTGTAGCCCCACATTTGAGAGATGGAGGCAGGGGGATCAGAAATTTGAGGTCATTCTCAGCTATATCCTAGCTAGGATACATGAGATCCTGTCTCATAGCAGCAGCAGCAAGAAGAAGAAAAGCAACTCTGAATGCTTCTAACTGAAGAACAGATCACGGACAGCCTAGCTGAGGACATTTGGAAGCAGAGCTGAAACCTATTTCCATCCTCTATGTCCTCCATGGTGGGCTAGCCAGATGGTGACTACACTGGGTGTTCAGGATCCCAGTATGGCCTGCAACCTTTTCCAGGGTGGAGCTTTTAAGCACAAAAACTGTGACCTGGGTCAACATATTTCAGTTAAACAAGAACAGTTAGCCAAAAGTGGAACGACAGAGGTCAAAAAGAAGGTTAGTACATTTAGAGACGTTGTCATAACGGTGGACTTTGATGGAGTAGGACTTTGTTTTCATTTTGGCAGGTGGTATTGTCTACCTGCTGACTTTTACATCCTGAATGGTCCTTCCATCATGGAGTCAGTTGTGCTAAGGTCTGGGGGGCCTGTTACAGCCTCCACCCACATGTAATACCTACACATGTGCACGTGCACATGCACACACACACACACACAGAGGGAGAGAGAGATGGCCTCGTGAGAGATAATTAGGTCATGTCATTGCTTTAGGAAGGGACCAATCAGTGGTTCAGCTGCTTCCCTTAAGGACAGGTGTTTGAAAGAAAAGAGAAGACTGATCCCTGGATCTTTTGTGCTTCTGGTCTCTTCTGCATGTGCTCCTGCCCTTGTGACAGTGCCACTAGAGGTAAACTTGATGGCTCCTCCATGGGGAACTCCCAGGCTCAAGAACTATGAGTTAATAAACCATATTTGCTTTTATATGACCTAAACTCAGTTGTTTTGTTAGAACACCTGAAAATAGACTAAGAAGTTGACGTTCAGACCTTGAGGAAGCCTCTCTTCCCTATGCTGGCACAGAGTTCGATTCCTTTGCTGATCTCCTTGAACACAGATCACATGTTTCAAAGACATCCTTAGCAGCCCAGTGATATGGCTCAGTGGGTAAAGGTGCTTGCTGCCAAGGCTGAGGACGTGAGTTCAGTCCCCAGAACCTACATGGTGAAAGGAAAAAACTGACTTCTACATGCTGTGGAATGCAGGCAACTACACACGTACACTTACACGTGAGTACACGCAGGCCCAACAAGCAGTAGATTTTAAGGGACAGTTGATACCACCCACTTGTCCCTCCAAATTTGTAAGTGCCATGCTATGCCAGTAGAGTCTCAACCAGGGGTATCTGGAGAAAAATAAAGATAAGAATAAAACAGTATCAAAGAAGGCAACTTTAATGTTTTAGGAGGGAAAAGATTTAATTTAAACACGAATCACAATGAAGACTAAAAGCATAAAAATCTAGGTACTGAACTAGGAAAGCTTGGCTGATTATCTCGGCAAATGCTTGCACTGTGAAGGAACAGGGTATTAGAGTTGAATATAGGAGGATGAGCAACTTCCTTAAGACCTCTAAAATTAAGCATTATTACAAGCTGTTGCTACAGCCTTCGCTTTCTAGTGAATAGCTAGGGCTCTAAGCAAAAGACCCTGAGGCAGCCTGAATTCCACTTGAGGGAAAGCCAGACCCTTCCCAAAGGATTTCAGGAGGGAGGGCATAGTCCTTTAGAGCTCTCCTCAGGGTGCTCTTGGTGTTCTTAGCGACGATTCCAATGATGAGCTTGTGTCTCTGGTGACTGAAGAAGCGGATAACGAAGTTCCACAAGCCAAACCACCATGAGACTGCAAGGACCCTGAGGAACATGTTCACAGCAGAACACATCATCAGCCTCAGTTGCCAGTCCATCTTGAGCAAGTCCTGGAACTGCAAGGCCCTGGAGGCCATCTCCAGTCTCCCTGTCCTCTGAGCTACCTGCTGAAGTGACTCATCATCCACGCCAAAGTGCTTCTGGTAGGTTTTGAGACCCCTCTCCAGGTCAGCAGGATCATATGCGGGGCTGACAGCTGGCTCCAGGTGTTCTGTGAACATCTGGTTCTCCTTTAGAAAGAATGCCTTATTGCTGATGTGCCCGTCGCAGACTTGAGAAAGAGTCTCTAAGGGATCTCTATACCTGATGTTGAAGATGTCTTTTTGCAGTGTGTTTCTAAGCTCTGGAAAGTCGTGAAAAACGGGACTGAAGCAGGATACCAGGAACATGGGAGGTTTCCTCACCCGACCATTCTGGAGATTCTCCAGGATATTCTTTTCAATACTCTGCAGTAGCTGGGGTTCGGCGAGGGCACTCGTGCTGAGGTCCCTGTCCAGCTTGGTCCAGACGACATAGAACCTCTTTCTCATGCTCTGCATGGCTTGGGCCAGCTTCACATGATTTGAGCTGAACTGCTCAGAAGCGATGATGATGATGAGGTCATAGGTGCTGATCTGCATCTCATCCAGGTAGCTCTCCACGCTCTGGGCTGTGGCGCCTAAGCCAGGCAGAACCCACAGCTCCACATAGGGAAAGTTGGAGGAGGAGTAACAGGCTGGTTCCTGGGTGGTCCTCACCACCCCAGTGGGAGCTGAATCCTCCTCCTCATGTCCAATGAGCCTAAGGGCATTGATGAAAGATGACATGCCATTGCCAGAGTCCCCAGTCACGGCGATCTTCACTGTGTATCTAGACTTACTCTCCATTTCACCTTTGGCTATGTGTATCACTTTCTGTAAATTCCCCTCTGCCACTGCCTTACCAATGTTCTCAATGACTTCTGGAGAGGAAGAGTTCTGGCTGGTATAGAACTGGCTGGTATCCCCAGCAGAGATAGATTTAGACTTCGAGCTGATGAGGAGCTTGAGAGCTTTGGCCATGTCCATGAAAAGTGTAAAAGTCTGCAGAAGAGAAGAGCCAGAGAGTCAGACTCAGGATGACACAGAAATCCACAGAAGTCACATACCCTAGGCATGGCTTTCAAATCTGCCGCCAGAGACAGCCAAGGCCCCTCACTTGAACAGAGTGTGGCGTGTCCTCTGAATGGGGTGGCTCTGGAGCTGCATAGCACCTCACATTGCTCACTTTGCAGCAAGACTGAAGAACCAAATGTTCAAGGGCTGGAGAGGTGGCTCAGGGGTTAAGAGCACTGGCTGCTCTTCCAGAGGTCCTGAGTTCAATTCCCAGCAACCACGTGGTGGCTCACAATCATTTATAATGAGATCTGATGCCCTCTTCTGACACACAGGTATACATGCAGATGCAGCACTCATATATATAAAATAAAATAAAATATTCAGCACACACCTTTAGTCCCAGCTCTTAGGAGGCAGAAACAGGTGGATCTCTGTGAGTTCAACGTCAGTATGGCCAACCAGAACTATCTAGTAAGACCTTGCCTCCAAAAAACGATTAATTTTGTGTATTTGTATGTGACTGCCTATACACACATGTGTGTAAGTGTGCAAACACATGTCTGTGCATGCGTGTGCGTGTGTGTGTGTGTGTGTGTGCGCGCGCGTGTGTGTGTGTACGTGCACCCGCGTTCTCATGTGAGACCCTGTCTCAAAAAAACAAAGAAATAACCTTTCTGTGTGCATCACATTTTAAAGCTTCACATCAGCCAGCTGTGGTGGTGAATGCCCTTCATCCCAGCAGAGGTGAGGGAATCTCTGAGTTCAAGGACAGCCTGATCTACAGAGTTCCAGGACAGGTAGGCCTACATGGAGAAACCCTATCTCAAAAATAAATTTAAAAATAAACAAACAAATAAATACATTAAAAGTCTCAAACTCAAGGCCATCTCTTTGATTCACATATTGTATACCTGTTTCGTGAAATGCTCCCAGCCGGATCCACCCCTCAGAATCCCATGAAGGACACTTTTCCTGTCCTTACACTGAAGAGCCCAGGTGTCTGCCCCATAAGGCCCACCGTTCTACCTGTGGGACCACTTCCAGGGAACAACTTCTGGGTGTTGACTAGTTCCTTGTGGTGACCCCAACCATTCTCTCATGGAGTGGCCTCTCTCCTCAGTCCTCTCCTGAGAGGCTTCCTCCCTTTGTTTCCTTCCTGAAGTGAGTCCAGCTTTACTCCTAAAACACTGCCTGCTACTACTTACACAGCAGCTGACCATGGAGGTGACCTCAGCATGGTGACCAGCCAAGAGTCCCAACCTGTGTTTGAAGACTCACCCAGCTCCTTGCAAACCCGACAAGTTTCTGAAGTCTCGATTTTCTGACAGTGCATCAGGCAAGCCATGCTACCCACTGTCCTTACCTTTTGTGGCATCTTCGTGACTAAATCCATGGGACGTTCTCTACACAGCTCTCTGCTGTCTGCTGTCTGTGTGAACGCTCTGTAGTCTCAACTCAAATGGCTGGGCTGGTGTTCCTCTCGTTCTTTCTTCTCCCTTCAACTTTATGTAGTATGGCTGAACTTCGTGTGTCTGTTATAGGCCTTGTGATCTTTACTCTTCTTCAGAACCTATTAGAAGAATGATATTACAACTGGTGACAGATGGGGAAATATATTGTTAGAAATACATAAGGAGCACTTTCTGCCGTCTTTCCGTGAGCTTACTGTGGTGCGCATGCCCTGGCAGGTGTTCTCAAGAGAGACAGCAATGCTGAGAAGAGAGACAAACATCAGGCCATGCTGCCAAGGCATCGTTCGGGTCCTAACTGAGATGATGAAGCAAAGCTACATCAGTGAATTTTAAATCATTGATGATCACAGAGCTGGGACCATTGTGGACCCCAATGGCAGGCTGAACAAGTGCAGATTGATCAACCCTAGATTTGATGTGCAGCTCAAGGACCTAGAGAAACGGCAGAACAATCTGCTCCCACCCCATCAGTGTGGCTTCATCATACTGGACCATGAAGAAGCAAGACAAAAACACACAGGAGGGGAAATCCCAGGATTCTTTTTATAGAGATGTAAAACATAAATAAAGAGCCTCCGTGGACTGTTAAAAAAAAAAAGAAAGAACGAAAGAAAGGAAGGGAGGGAGGGAGGGAGGGAGGGAGAGAGAGAGAGAGAGAGAGAGAGAGAGAGAGAGAGAGAGAGAGAGAGAAAGACAAGGCAAGAAAGGAAGGAAGGAAGAAGAAAGACATCTTAAATTACACAAAGCAGTTCCTGGTCACTTCTGATTTATCTAATGCTGACTACAATCCTCCATAAAGATCCAGATCTCTCTAAATCTTCTGGAAAAAGGGGATAAGAGATGGCTCAATGAAGAAAGTGCTTGCCCCACAAGCAGGAGTTTGATTCCCTGACATCCACTTAAAAGGCAGATTCAATACGCATGCCTAAAATATCCTCACAGGGAGGTGGGGACAGGAGGATCCCAGAGGGCTTGCTAGCCAGCCAGCCAGTCTAGCCAAGAGGTTCATTGAGAGATTCTAGTTCAATAAAATGAATTGCAGAGTGACTGAGGCAGACATCTTGACATCAGCCTCTGGATTACGCACATATACACACAGGCACTGGCAAGAAGACTCACAGGCACACACACTCACAGCCACATGTACACACACAAATGCAATAGTCTCACACCTGCACAAAAAGGTCATATACACAATTTACATGGTGGTCCTCGGTGTACTCTAGGTTACTCTATTCTGTCGGGTTGTGTTTCGTTATTACTCTCTTCCAAAAGATTAAATTCTGGCAGCCTGATAAGAACCAGCTTCTCCAATGCAGATAAACATGCCCAACTGAGTTAAACAAAAAGTTTCCTTATGAACCCAGCCTTCAAGTCAGGAGTCCCAGTCCCTGCGTGTTGCACGTGAAGAACAAATGCACGTTACACAATTCCAGGACGTTCCAATATTGCCTGTGGGATGTTCTGACCCTGGACTCTGGCCCCAGGAGAAACAGCAAAACAGTGGCCAAGAGAATATGAGTAAAATCCCACTTGCTTCCTTTAAACTATGCCCCATCAGCAGACCAAAACACCCAGGGATATGCAGGTAAAACAGAGAACAATGCCTCTCTGATGGTCGGTTGGAAGGGCTTGATTCAGCCAAAACACCAAAACCACCAGGCACTCTACGGTCCTCAAGGCAGGAAGGGAGAGTGTCTGCAGCACAGGGTCCCCCAAGGAACACATGACCCCAGATTCCCTGCCCTGAGCTGGTTTATAGGCTAAGCAGGAG